CCTTGATATTTGTGTTTATCCTCAAAACGTCCTCAGGTAATGCTTATGGATTTCGTGACGCGACATTCACGTTGTCTTGAGGTACTAACTGATTCCAAGTACGGGTAATTAACTTTGACATGCTTAAAGTACGGTCACCAGAATTGTCGATTCTCGTTTGGTTAGCTTATTCCACAACCTCTTTTGGCAGTAAAAATTGAGTGTTTATATTTTACCTGTAATCAGTGTTAGTGTATGTAGATGAATTATCCTGTTTCATAAAATTCAAGTGCAATAAACTCGGACACAAGCTTTACATTAACGTCAACAATCTTATTATCTGCGTACAATTACCTCACTTCAGTGTTTTTGTACATTTTCGAATTTTTGATACCAAGTCCTTATCGACACTCACTATCTCTAGTAATCTGAGATTCGGCTTAACAATTTCATGTTAATAGGGCATGACAACCTTTACTCAACTACCAAATTATTAGATTCTACGTGAGCGATTGAGTTATCCTACGTTAATTACTTTGCAATCCATGACATTTTATCATCCAAACGTTTTCATTTGGTTTATGTAAAAAGTGTGACCTAAGATTCCGTCGTAAATATGATGTGAAGATATAACCACAGCAAATTTTTAATATACTAGTTATGTACAGAAAGTTTAAAGTGTAACAAGTAGAAAGGAGTTATAAAGTTACTAAAGATCTCAGGTAGCCTAGCGTTCGATTTTTAAAACTCGATATTTAGCTGACCGATACGTAAATAGTATTAACGTACTGTCACGCTCTAGTTGTCATGCGCGAACTTGTTACGATGCAATTATGTATTATTTTTAAAACTGTTGGGAGGCCGTTTTTATATTACACGTAATCATTAGTCTACTCACGTAAAGGTGGGCAAGGTGTTAAATTCACTGGTAATTTGGTTAATTTAATGTTGCCATGCATCTACCGTGCGTACTTTCACGTGTTTAACATTTTCATAATCTCAATTTGTTATGTTAGTATGTCAAATGTCTGCACTTTCTTACTGTTGACAGCCTGTCGAACATCCTCACGGTGGTGGTAATCATCAACATATAGGTAAACCATCTACGATTCGCCGTGATGCATCTCATGGTCGCAAAGTTGGTCTAATAGCTGCCAGACGAACTGGACGTATTCGTGGTACCCGCACAATTACTTCAAAATCCGACAAAGAATAAAATAAAATAATCATATGGTATGAAAGGCTTGTCGGTTTCACCTAATGGGTTTATTTTTTAACTGTCCACTAAATCGCGTAGCACGAGTTCGTCGGAATCCTAACTATATATTCATGTAGATAGTTAACTGTATGTTTGTCGAAGACAATTGTATTTTAAACATAAGTTGTTTTTCCAACACCAAAACAAAGCGATGATTGCTAAAAATTTATTGAAAGCAAAGTATGCGATAATGACAGTGTTAAAAAAACAGTTTTTTCTCTTAAAAACGATATCGATAGGCAAACACATGGGTGTCCACGTTTTCCTATGGAATGCATCTGTTCGACTTTAGGGAGAAATGAAACATCGGTCCTGGAGTAACATTCTATCTGTACATAGAAAGTGTCTCAGTTGGTCATTTTTGGACTCGTGCTAATCACGTCTTCCGAGACAAAAATAACGCGATGATAAACACCTAGCTATGGCTTAGATCAAATGACCGTACCGTAGTTTTCGATCTTGCTAATCATTAGATACACTTGTAAGTGTTGCATTAATACGTAGCAAGGCTAGTTAGAGATTGTAGATAGAAAAACTCGATTTGAAATAAAATGTGTCAAATTACAATTTCTCTCCACAACATGAAACGTTTAACTCATATTCCTCGCTATAGGAATTCTCTTTTCCTTTATTTAGCTCCAATTAACAATCAAGTATGTTCACTTGATCTATCCTACTTTGACACTTTATTAGCACACATAGTTGAACTACAATCGGTTTTCGACATAGTGCAGAATGTCTTTATGCAACTTCAATTATTCAAATAGTAATTCCTCACCAGGCTTGTAACCACCGATTTATATAAAATGTCATTGTAGTGAAGACTAGGAGTTCATTAAAAATAGATTAAAAGCAAATAATATTTAAGTACTAAAGATATTTTAAAAATCTCATCTACAGCTTAGTGTACTCTGTAAAGTCATTGGCTTCGAAACTTTGTTGCGGAGATAATGGCAGCAATTTGTCTTCGTGTAGCAGCCAATCCAGTAGTATCTTTTATATTCCTTTTAAATACAGATACAACAAACGAGAGTGAAATATCTAGATAATACATTTCGCAAACTGAATATAGATGAGCAATTAAAATGTACATTGATACTATTTAAAGAGGAATTCGGAACTAGAGGATATTTGGGTTTCTGTAGTAGTATGCACTAAAATTCATATTAAACTATCTTACTCTTACTAAGGGCCAGCTACAAGTGAGATTTTCCGGGATTTTTGCCGTGGTTTGTGAAGTAGAATGTTAATCTTAAATTCACAGTGAAAGAAGTGAAAATTAGTGACTTCTGTCTGATTATAACCATATTTTATCTTGCGTAGTTTGGTAGTATCGTTAGTCATGATAATTTCAAGCCTGGCGATATAACCGGATCCCAATTCTATGGTGCACATGGGCTCCAGTATCCTGAAGGAACAAATGGCGTATGAACCAACTTTTGGTCACCGGCTTCCATGGGACTGCATCTCCTCACGATGCTCCACTGCCTTGTGGACTAGACCTTTAGGTCAAAGGCTCGGGGTGTGGCCCCTTAAGAAAACCACCTGCTTCGGTTTGGGCACCCGGGCAGTATCTCAGCCCACACACTAAAACCATGATGAACTATCTGCTTATGGAAAATATTCGTTTCCCTGCGACTAACATTGAAATGACCGGTATTATTATTATTTACTACGTCATTTATTCACTATCTCCTATTTCTAATTTCTGTATCCGTTTCGACTCAGACAGCAGCTCGCCTATGGTAAAAAATTCAGCTTTATATAAACGATCTCGAGTCACTGCCTGGTTGAAAATTGTATGTTGCCACCGAATACGAGTACTGAAGCAGTGTTTCTGAAACCACGTGCACCATTCAAACTGGCTGCCTTCAACGTTCGCACACTTATGCAGGTCGGACAACAGATAGGGCTGGCTATGTCTTTGGAAAGTCTTAATATCGACGTTTGTTGTCTATCCGAGACCCGTATTCAAGACTGGTGACGTACTACGAATTCGCTCTCCATCTGTCACTTCAAAAAGCTTGTTTTATGTGCGTTTATCCGGGGACCCTGTGGCATCTTCGTCTGGTCTTGCTGGCGTTGGTGTCGCACTAAGCGCAAGAGCTGAGGCAGCACTAGTCGACTGGATCCCCATTAACAGTCGGTTATGTGCTGTTAGATTAGAAAGTACCATCAGAGTGAGAAGAAATCGGCGTGAGAAACGATGTCTTTTCGTCATCTCCGCCTATGCCCCGACAGGTTGCAGCCCGGATGCAATCAAGGACGAGTTCTACCACCAGCTAACTGTTCTTCTCCAGAAAGTGCGTTCGACAGATATTGTAGTACTAGCTGGAGACTTGAATGCTCAGGTCGGGCGTCTAGGCACAGAAGAGAGTCGTTTAGGTGGCCGATGGGGACTCGTTGGTCGCAGGACAGATAACGGGGAACGTCTACTGCAACTATGCACAGACCACAACCTGTTTCTGGCTAGCACTAACTTTCGGCACAGTCATCGCCGATGTGCCACCTGGCGTCCCCCTTCTGCATCTCAAGCCTGGACTCAGATTGATCACATCGCGATCAGCTACCGCTGGCGCGGTTGTGTACAAGACTGCCGCTCCTTTTGGAGTACCTATCTGGAATCTGATCATGCTCTGGTCTGCGCCAATCTTACCTTACTTTTCAGTGGACAACGAAGTGACCGCCACCACAGGATTGATGTTAGCAAGCTGGCTGCAACTTCTGTTGCTAGTAAGTACCGAGCCGAGCTAGCTTCTAGGCTAGCTAGCATTCCACCGAAAAGTATAGATGAGCATTGGTTGCAATTGCATGTCGACATGAAAATGGCGGGTCAAGTCAGTTGTGGGTTCGCGAAACGTCGCGCTTACAAGCACTGGGTTTCTTCTGGTTCCTTACAACTGATTGAAGCCCTTCGGTCTACTCCGGGTGACCGTGAGTTTGACCACAGACGAAGGATGTTACGTAATGAAATCGGTCAAAGCTTGCGTAAGGACCGAGAAGCCTGGTGGTCGGAGCGTGCAAGTGAGTTGGAAGCAGCAGCTGCATCTGGTAATTACCGGAAGCTCTTCCAACTCATCCGAGCCACTGACAGCAAGAAGTCTGGTGTGAGCGAAACAATCTGCGAGGATGACGGAACGCCAATCACTAACATCCATCGACGTCTTGGACGATGGGCAGAATTCTTTGAAGGGCAGTTCAACTGGCCTGCTGCTCCGGCAACATCGGTCAGACTGTCCTGCCCTCCATGGCCGGTGACGACTGATCCACCAAATGAGGCGGAAGTCCGCAAGGAACTCCAACTCTTGAAACGTTACAAATCACCAGGCCCAGACGACTTACCCCCGGCTCTTTTTAAAGATGGTGGTGACTTTCTGACTAAAGGACTGACGACGTTGTTTACAAAGATCTGGGAACTAGAGAGTGTACCAACGTCATGGAATGAGTCGATAGTTGTCCCTATCTTTAAAAAGGGTTCACGTTGTTCCTGTAACAACTATCGGGGGATAAGTCTACTTCCGATTGCGTCCAAGCTATTGGCTTCCGTCATACTTCGTAGGTTGTTCAGAACCCGAGAAGGATTGACTCGCGAGGAGCAGGCTGGGTTTCGTTCTGGTCGAGGATGTATTGATCATATCTTCACACTCCGCCAAATGTTAGAACACCACCATACTTATCAAAGGCCAACAATCGTAGTATTTATTGATATCAGGTCTGCCTTCGATAGGACTGTTCTCTGGGATTTTCTATTGAAGAAGGGTGTGCCTGAGAAGTTTATTAACATCTTGAAAGCCCTATACACAAACACCTCAGGCAGAGTGAGGGCATACAACCACTTTTCTCCATTATTCCATTCGAGCAGTGGGGTTAGGCAGGGTTGCCCAATCTCATCATTCCTCTTCAACTTTGCCATCGATGACATTCTGGAAACAGCTCTGACGGATGTAAGTAATGGTGGTGTGGATCTGTTGCCTGGAGAAAGACTTCTCGACTTTGAGTATGCGGATGATATTGTCTTACTGTGCGAGAATGCCCAAGCCATGCAATCCGCACTTAATCAGTTGGCAATTAATGTCCGTAGGTATGGTATGTGCTTTGCACCTTCGAAGTGCAAAGTACTTCTACAAGACTGGCAGGATTCTAATCCTGTACTCACTCTGGATGGTGAGCAGATAGAAGTAGTCGAGAAGTTTGTGTATCTAGGTAGCTGCATAAGTGCCGGTGGTGGTGTGAGTGATGAGATCAATGCACGTATAGTGAAAGCCAGGGCGGCTTATGCCAATCTGGGCCATCTTTAGCGCCTTCGTGATGTTAGTCTGGCTGTAAAAGGTCGGATCTACAACTCGACGGTGAGAGCAGTTTTGCTCTATGCTTGTGAAACCTGGCCTCTCCGAGTTGAGGATGTTAGACGACTCTCTGTGTTCGATGATCGTTGTCTCCGAAGGATTGCTTGCATCCAGTGGCAACACCATGTCAGTAATGCAGAGGTTCGGCATCGAGTGTTCGGTCACAGAGACGATAATGAAATTGGTGTCACCATCTTGAAACACCGACTTCGGTGGCTTGGACATGTTCTACGAATGTCGTCCCAGAGAATTCCTCGTCGTGCATTATTTGCCGACTCTGGGACTGGTTGGAAAAAGCGGAGAGGTGGTCAGTATATGACATGGTGTCGTGGTATGAAAGAAAGCTGCAAAGGGCTAGCTTATGTTGGTCCTTCACGACTCCCTGGTTGGGGTCCGAGAGACGGTGTAACGCAGTGGCTAGAGACGTTATCAGATATGGCTCAGAATAGAAGCCAGTGGCGATCCTGCTGTAACCTTCTTTTACTTTCTTCATAAAAAGTGGTTGTATCTTCCTTAACTGAAAGATCTGTTCTGATTGTACCTTTCCGTTTCCCCCACCATTGTTCTCTCTCTCTTTTTTTTATAATTCCCCACGTTCATTACTTTTTTTTCTCTTTTCTCCTTCTCTTCAAATTATCATTGTTTTGTGTGGCGCATATATATTTGGTGCCCCCCTGTACCAATATTTATGTGTTCAAATAAATAAATAAATAATGATAAAGTTCCTTTTATCTTACAGGGAGAATTTGAACTCAAACCCATAAGTACCAACTGTACAGTATACTACCAGAGTCTCTACCTAAATCTTGACATGATATTTGTTCATTATTTGAATTATAACCAGTATTAACCAAGTAGAGCATATGGTTTTGGTATTAAAGATAAATAAGTGAGTAATCCATGGTTTATTGATACATAAATCAATTTTTTTTGTGATTTATCCAACAGTCTATCCAATATAAATTATGCTACTAAGTAACTTCGTCTGTAAATTCTTACTTAAAGTTTTGGAAAGAACGTCTTGCCATACTATTATTAGGATTAGGAGTCTTTGAACTTTTCGGAAGAGTGCGTTTGGTAGACTGTTCAGACTTTACCGACGATGAAGATATTGGCGGGAATAAATGGCTATCTTCTTGGTTTTCATGCAGATTTGATTGTCTTTGATCTGATTCAGATTTCTTTGACGAATTATTTAGTTTCATTAACTGATCCCTTGTTTCAGCCAATACAGAGTTTAATTCATCTCTCTCCCAACATTCTTTTTCAACTGTAGCGTAAAGTTGTTTAACCTGAAAAAGCGGTGATCACTTGTTAACATTTTACAGATAGTCTAAATGATAAATGTCTAGATAATCAAAATAGCAACAATTGATATAACTCTATTGATGATAATTTATCCTGTATAGCCATCAAGCTGAGTAATACACGTTGATATCAGAGTATATTTGACTGCTTGCGTAATGCCGAAAAGATATAAGCTCTAAACACTGATTTTAAATGGAATAACCATCCAACTAACTCCAGCTCGACCAGCCGGATTTTATCATTTCCACTGTGTAACGTATACGTGGATCTGTACTTGTTCACTAAGACGAATTGGATTGAGGGTTTGGTGAAAGTCTTCAAACTGTTCCATATTTAGATTTTACGCTTAGCAGTGCACTGTTAGACTAAATCATCTTATTTGTCAGTCCTAATATTATTAATTGTCAATAAAGTCAATTAGTATGGAGGAACGAAACATTGGCAAGGTACGCTATTGCTCATCAAACTCTATTTTCAACATGCCCTCAGTATCACATTCAGATGTACTAGACCCTATATTTCAAAACGATAACAACTATGAGATAGTTTCTGAAGAACATATGAGTCTAATATCCTAGCTAACTCCTTAAACAATCAGACGCTGAAAGTAGTTCGCATGTAGTGTAAAATTTGGAGATTATTCCTTGTTTTAATCAAAGGAAGATGAAAAAGACATTAGTAAGACTGCATGACCAATACTGTATGTGTCTTGATTACAATTCATAACAATCAATTTTGTGTGATAGTCATTAAGTGAGACTGTGATTGAATGATGTAACTGAGACTAGTCGATGAGACTGACTATTCTCATGCGAAGTGCCAAGTATCTGCAGACTACGATATTTTATGCCAAATGCATACAAAAATAAATAATTCTTTGAGCAATATTTCTCTAACAATGGGAGGATCGGAAACTACACAAAGGACATTTATCTATACCTAAAATTCCTGACTGGAACTTCACATGCGATTATTTTAATTAATAAAAAAATACTAAAGACGAAGTTCCTAACTTCTTGTTGATATCTTTGGATTTGATTTTCGAGTTCCCCTCTAACGGCATCCGAATTGTTCACGCTATTAGTCAATTGATTAATTTCCTCTTTCATCGTTTCCATAATACGACGATGTTCTTCTTGCAAAACAATGTTTTCTCTTTCTTAAAGATTTAAGAAATAAAATGAATTTTGATAAGGAAAGAACATTCGTACATGTTATTAGTATTCCAAGTAGTAATAAGAGTAGTTATTCGAAAGGACAAGCAAATATTTTCTGCGTAAAGGTAAGCGTTTGAATTGTCGACTAATAAGATCTCACTGGGGACTGGAACTGATCCTACGAATGTTCACTAAAAAGCAAAGCAATCACATCCTAATTACAGCGTGATTGGTTATACATAACTTGAAACCAGTTAAATTTTTGGATCAGGCCAATTTATGGACTACCTTCGAGTCGACGCTAAAATGAACTTGAGGATGTCCACTTACTTACTAGGGTTAAACGAGGGTTATAAACCACTGTGAGGAATTAGGATTATGATTTACTGTTAATCGTTAGGACTGGGAATCTGATTTAATGTTCACATCAGCTAAAATGCCAAAATCCTATTTAACCAAAAACATGAGTGGATTTCGCTCCAAAATCCAAGACCTATGAATACATTATAATCTCGCTGATCTTTGTTTCGAACTCTGATGGTTATAAATATCTAATTTGCACTACTAATTGTTGAAGAGTTTCTTAGTTAGCAATAAGCAAAGATACATGGCTTTCTATTTTTCAGTGTTCAGTGATAAAAAAAATTTAATACTGTAATTCGTGAAGAGAAATATTATGTATAATGTTTTATGATTGCCTGAATCAATGTTCAAACATTTCCATTTGATGGTTCATTAGAAATATGTAATAAGTGATATTAGCTACTGAATGAATTGCTAATAAACGACTACATAACTAACTATCAAATAAGGCATAATTTTACTCGTAAAAAAGCCATACTTCCAGATAAAATAATTACTGAATATTGAATATAAATAACAATTATTCAAAATCGAAATGATCGTAGAGTACAGGTAGTCAGTCTATTACGTATCAAATAAGTTAAAATGGATACTAAGATTAGTTTTTGCCCACCATCTTGTTGATGAAACATAAACCTGGAATAATCTCAAGATGGCTTTTACTCTGCCTTCATCATATAAAAACGATGTTATCATCAATTCTGTATATTCCTTGATATAATCGATCTCAAACACAAAGTAGTTTTGAAGATCTAGGAACATCCAGAAATGACTTTTATCGTACTAACAAATAAAAATCTGCTAGACGATTACCAGGATTTTAAATTGCTAGTTATTTTTATGCGTAAGTATACCATTACTATTTGTTAAAATTACGTAAAAGAAATTTGTAATGAATCAGTAGAGTCAATTTTTCTGTGCAACGGCTGGAAATATTGTTCAGATTGAAATATGTAGAGTGAGGTTCAAAGTTGTGACCCCCTCGTTTGGCAATGGTTCTCTTATGAATTTAAACACGATTCGATCTAAGACAATCTAAACACTAGAATAATACTGTTCCTCTTCTACTTTAGGCCTTTACAATCATCTAGCATCTGTACGAGAAAGTTAATTCGCAACACTATTGAAAGTTATGTGGAAATCATAGTTTCATAAATAGTTAAAGTCATTATTCACGACTAAATATTATCAAACATGGCTCAGTATAGAAACCAATGCGAATCCTGTTGTAGTCTGTATTTATATTCATCATAAAAATGAGAGGAAGTTCTTTAGCTAAAAGAATTCTTGGTTGTATGTGTTTAGGATTATAATCTATTCTCGTTCACTTATTTCTACTCATTTATTTACTAGATAATTCCTCTTCTCCTTTCTCTACTTCTTCATAATCTCATTTTCTTGTTTGTTTGGCGTATGCTTATTTTGGTCTTCATTTTTACCTGAATTTGTGTTTAAATAGACAGTTGTCTACTACAAAAAATACATATCATCATTGACTGTATTGTGTTGCCTGAGCTCAATAGTTTAGTTGAGAAGCTTCTGTTTTATGCTGAACAACATCATCATGCAGAAGAATGATAATGAAAACTTTTCAGTTCAGCTACCAAGCTCAGACAACATGCTCAGTACAATGAAACGCATCCACCTCAGTTATAAATCTTAATACATAGTTATTATCAAAACAAGTATAAAGTGATCCATACGAACTTGATCTTTTGTTTGATTAAATATAACTGGCAAAGTGTTGCTCAAACTATCGTAATCATGAAAATGTGTAATTAGAAATTATATTTCTCTGAAAATAACCGTTTTATCGTACCTCATTAAACTGTAAACATTATCCAAACAAAATAAATAAAACCACCAACCTTTTTGTTTAACTTCTGACGTCAGTTGTTCGATTTTTCGATTTGTTTGACTTTTAATTTGTTGTAATTCCAGTTCTTTTTTCTCGAGTGATAATTTGAATTCTTTCTCTAATATCAACTCCTATAACAATTCCAAAACAAACAAAAAAAAAAACAATTTAATTGCATAATTTTTCTAAAACGCTTGATTTGGTGTTAAGTACCTGAAGGAACTCATCAGAAAATCTTCTTTGACCTAGATTTCTTAGTAGTTAGAACTTGTCAGCATGGCGTACACGTAATTCTATGGGAATGTGTCACATAGTTTCAAAGTCCAAAGTTGTATGTACCATTGGGTTATTCAAGCTACTGATCGAATTCTACCTATCGATAGATAAAATCAGTGGTTGGATTTAGATCACTTTAATTACTGCTTTTAACTGTGCTTGATAAGATAGTTATTTGTTAACTGCTCTTATTGGGTCTTTTAACTTCATTTGTTTTTGAAGCTATTTTGGTACATAGTCAGTCATCGTAACTTGATAAACTCCATCTTCTCATTCCATTATCAGAATTTATCAAGGGAAATACCTGTGTGGAATTATAAATTAAATGAAACACTAGACACCATTCAATGACTTATTAGTTATGCATTTAATAGCGATTATCTCCCAGATATATTTCCAGTAAAAAATCATTACCAGTGATATCGACTTAATAGGAAACATGGAACGATTAAACGATGATGTCAAACATTGGATTGCGTTTTATCACAAGGAACTTGAAAGTGAATACTAGGAAAATTTCAACTCAACGATCTAAAGAGATTACGTAGTGTAAATATCTAGGCCACTTCGTTATTTGACCCACGTTTATAAATTTGTCAACAGACTTAATTCTTTACTGAAGAACTTCATGTCTAAATAGTTTTGTTGCAGATGAGCGCAATTCGAAAGCAAACATACGATATTCAGTCGTGCAACCGAATACAACAAACTATTAGGTGCTATAATCGATATTTGATTTGAATTTCTAATCCTCACTATAGATGATATGAGATGACAAACGCAGATCGAAGTTGTTTGTATCCTTGTTGATATTTCGTTGCCTACAATAGTGTCAGGAGATATTTAGACAAAAAAGTGGTCAATACAATTAGCTACATTGACAACTATTCGTTAAAGTAAATATCGAAATAGGTTGTTCTTGAAAAATTCAACCTGTATTTGCCAGATAAAAAGCACGTCTCAAAGTTTCATGTTTGTATTCAAGGTATTAAGTACTATCAAAATTGAGTTTTGCTTCACCTATTCCAAGTCTATAGTTGGATTTTCGATAGATTAGAAGTAATCAAAGTCAATATCATTTATATATAAGTTTAACAAAGTCTAACAAACGCCTTGAAATATATTCCACACACGTCACACATCTTTTATCTCAAAGGATATCTATTTATGAATTCGCTAAAATATAAATAAAATAGCTATGTTCTACTAGAATTTCATAAGTATCATCACACTGCTTTTCTCATACCGGCAAACCTCAAATACAAGGATTAATATATAACCAATACTGAATATTAAAATAAAATTATATAAGCAAACATATGCCGGGTCAGTGGTCTAAAGGTTAAACATTCGCGGCCAAGAACAAAGAGCATATATTCGATCCTTTGTAGTGGGATCATACATCCCGCTATTGAAGAGTCTCATACTGGAATGAAACAGCTTTCCAGTATTTCTTGGTTTCCAATGATAGTCTAACTATGATCAGTTCGCGATTCAAGCTAGAGAAACACTACAATTTTTGTAAACCACACTATACTGATAAATATATTAGTTTACTTTATTATACTGTTGAACATTGAGTTCTTTTTCCATTTCTTGAAGTTTAATTTCCAATTGTCGATGTAATTCATTTTGTGAATGTCTTGATGTACGAAATACAAAAAAAAAACAAGGAATAATTATCATTAAAATTTCTAAAAAGGAAAACATTATTTCTTTTCGTAAGAGAAATAGCTGTTTAATTGAATTATAAATAACACAGACATTGGCGAAAATACATATTCATCTAGGTGATTGTGAGATTGAAATGAGAATCAAAAGAGAGTCACAATTGATTCCTAATCATTAGGTTATTCATAAATATGAATGTGAATAGTTGACCTTAAGAGACTAAATGTTGACTAGATGTTAGCGAGTATATCCTAAGACAAGAAACAAATAGGGTGCTATGATGAAATTATATCGAATCATAGTATACAGATAAATGAATAAAATAACTGTTTAGAGTTAGATTATTGAAGGTGATGAACAGAAAGTCCCATACATACCCATTGTGTTGCACTATTTCAAGAGAATTAATATTTCGCTGGGAGATTTAAAAATATCACTTAGTAACACTAAGAAATTGAAATTGAACTTTTAAGGCTGTGACTAATTTCTGTTGTCCATCCACGATCCGCCCCCCCCGCGAGATTCGAACCCATGACCTACCAGTCTCGCGCGCGAGCGCTTAACGATTAGACCGCTAAGCCGTGGGTGTGCACTGCTGAGGAGTCCCGTACCAGGACGAAATGTCCGTCCAGTGCTTCCAGGTTTTCTATGGTGGTCTAGCTTCACTTGACTGATGATTTCGACTAGTTAAATTTCTAAAATCTTCACATAATCCTTTCCGATAATTTCTATTGTCAACAAAATGATAGACTTAACCTCTAAGTAAAAGTTTAAACCTGCATAGTATTAAGTGTTGAACTGATCATCATATTAATAAACAAAGTAAATAAAAACAGGTTTCTTGCGGACAAGTTTGGTTAATCTAGTTGAATCGAATTTTTCACTAACAGTTTGGAATTTCTGTGCACAGATGTAATTTTGCAAACACTTACTAAAATATTACTTGTGTATATTTGGATAGTTGATAGGTCAGATTCCGTAGATAGGACCTTATAAAACCATCTTAGAAACAACGGTGTCCCTGAGAAAATCATCAAGATTATACGGAATTCATACGACGGAATAGACTGTAAGGTTGTGAATATAGATCAGTTAGCAGATGGATTCCAAGTGAAGACTGGAGTCATACAAGGCTGCTTACTCTCTCCCTTTCTGTTTCTTCTGATGGTTGACTGGATTATAACGACTTCGAGATCTGAGGGGAAGCACGGAATACAATGGACAGCTTGGATACAACTAGATGATTTGGACTTCGTAGATGACCTGGTCTCTTTATCTCATACACACGAACAAATGTAGATGAAGACAACTAGTGTTGCGGCAGCAGGCTTCAACATACACATCCCCAAATACAACACGGAGAACACCATCCCGGTCACACTTGATGGAGAAACTCTGGAAGAGGTGGAAACTTTCACGTACCTGGTCAGCAGCATCATCGATGAACAAAGAGGATCTGATGCAAATGCAAAGGCAAGGATTGGAAGAACATCTGGAATTCAAAACAACTGTCAACCAATATCGAGGTCACATACTTCAATATGAATGTCTAGACAGTTCTACTGTATGGAGATGAAACTTGGAGAAAAACTACAGCCATCATCAAAAAATAAAAAGTATTTGTAAACAGTTGTTTACTTAAGATACTCAATGTCTGTTGACCAGATGCCATCGGCAACAATCTATTGTGGGAGGGAATAATTCAGCTTCAAGCTGAAGCGGAAATTAGGAAAATTCGTTGGAGGCTGGTAAAATATACATTACGGAAATAATCAAACTGCATCACGAAGAAGGCGCTAACCTGGAATCGTGAAGGGAAATGAAAACGAAGAAGACCAAGGAAAACATAACGTCGGGAAATAGAAGCAGATATGAAATGGATAAATAGCAACTGGAAAGTATTGCCCAGGACAGGGTTGGATGGACAGTGTTGGTGGGCGACCTATTCTCCTCCAAGAGAGGTAACAGCAGTAAGTAAAAGTAGATGATGGTGGCTAGCAAACTTGAAGTTAAAACAGTTTACATATATCTACTTTTGAGTTAGTCATAAATGTCTTCATTTTTTTAGTTACCGTAAGACTTAAAGTTTAAAACTGATTTCAGCTCCATGTACAGATATCAGTACACACTCTTCAGTACTAAACAAAAACGAAATGTTGATCTAATTCTCCATGATGTTTCGTCAAATGATATTAGTTTTGGGTAAAAGTTAACTTCATGAAGTGTGATAATTAATTGTAAAAAATTGAAAATCCTTGTTGAAAAAATGATTAACTTACTTGATGGTCTTTAACTCAAATATTTCTTGTTTACTAGTCTCCAATGCTGAATTCAACTGATCATTCATTTCTAGATAAAATTCAAATTCAAACTTTAAGTAGTATTCAGACAATACACACTTAAAATTAGGACTAAACTCTGTAAATGTTCATATACTGTTGTATTACGTCTATCATGCATATAGACAAATAAAATTCAACAGAAGCTAAATGGAAATAGGCTCATTAAGTTCTTTTTAGAAAATTGGTATGCTTTCAAACGCACATCAACCAAAGAACTGCCAAAAACTAGAAAGTCAGTGAGATTATAATTCATGGACGAACCAACCAGATATAAGATAACAGGTCTTGAATTTTGGCGCGAAATTCTTCCATCCATTTGCTTAAATAGGGTTTTGTTATGTTAGCTGATGTCAATTTGTGATGAAAACCCTAAATCTGCGTTCTAACCGTAACCATCAACTGTCAATTACAATTTTATTTCCTCATACTGGTTTTTAACCCTTATTTAGCCATAGTAAGTAGATGTACACCATCAAGGTCACTTCAGCGTCGTCCATAAATTATTGACTTACCATAAGGTTTTGAAGTGAAAACTGTTCAATAATATTTTAGGAAACGTCAGATTTTAACATTTGCTATCACTCAACAGATGGAACATGTAATCTTCAGACTACTTAGTGAATATGATACATTTAAATTGACGAGTTAGATTCGTATTAAAATGTTCCAGACTGCGACGAAACGGCTACATGATTTTATAGTTGATTTCACTTCACGATTAAAACTATAGAATAAAAGGGTTTATTTTCTATGCAAAGTACATAAAATTAATGGGCCACAGGGTACTTTTTGATAGGTACTTAATTTACATAACTTTATATTTTTCACCACAATGAACTCTAAACTGTGTTGAATATTTCCAACAAAAGTTTATCGACTGCAGTACTTCATCAAAATAATATAAAACAGAGATGTAAAGTAGTTTCAGACTGCTAATATGATAATGACCCACTAATTTACTTTATTAAAATTTATTAGGAGCTGTGATATTTCAGACTATGATCCTTAAAATGACAGAAATCATATCTTAATAAAATCAATCAAATTATACGCCTTAAAATTCATCATAGTAAGTTTAATGTACTCGTTATCTGTATTGAACAAAACCATGAGTATTCTAACAGTCCATCGTAAGTATTACACATAATGGTATTTATTTGCATATGAATGATTTCATTCATTCTCTATTTGTTAGTCTTGTCATTTGATCTGATTATTTAAAGTAAACTTATTTTAGAAATTTCAATAGTTGAAATCATAGACAATTGAATTTAGACCACCGTGAAAAAAACTGGAAGCACTAGACGGTCGTTCCGTCTTAATACGGGACTCCTCAGCAGTGCGCACCCACGGTCCCGCCCACCCCGCGAGATTCGAACTACAGGACCTATCAGTCTTTCGCGCGAGCGCTTAATCATTAGACCACTGAGCCGGCATCCAACGGTGTTAATGACTAACTTCAACCAATTTATTTCAATAACTTCGTTTTAACTTCTGAATATTATATACGGTTAGGAATAATCATCATAACGGTTATCAGGCCAATTTTGAAAATGAAATATAAGAATAAATACACAACTCTCTTGTAGAAATATCATTCAAGCTATCATAGTACATGATTTGTTTAAATTAAAATATTCAATGTTAATTTTAAATGTTATTGAAGTGCTTAATGAAACTCTTTATTTCTAAGTGATTTCTCAAAATTTGTTTTAAACTGACTTACGGTTATGATGAAGATATTTAACAAACTGAAGTAGTTTATTCAACATTGTAAACTGGTTATCATGTGTAGCAAACTTTTCTAATGCAAATAACTTAATATATTAAATATTCACCATCCGAACAACGGAATATTGGCTCGAACTCCATCACTTACAATCAAATGTAACTTTACCAAGTAACTGAATTGATAAGACTATAATTTATGGACGACCTTTGAGCGATGCTAGACTGACCTTGAGAGTGTCCACTTAATAACTAGAACCAAATGTGGATTATAAACCTGTGTGAGGAACTATAATTATGATATACAACTGATGGTCAGGGTTAGAAATTAGATTTATGGTTTTCATCACGAACTGACATCAGTTATAATGTCAAAACTCTATTTAGCTAAATGAATGAATGAATTACGCGCCAAAATTCAAGACCTGTTATCTTATACCTGATTGGTTCGTCCATAAATTATAGTCTCGCTACTGAATTATATCATAAATTCATCTCAATATAAATAATATACTTTTGATACTAGTTAATTCTTCAGAAATATTGGTCATCTCTTTCTGTAAACACTGTTCTCTTTCTTTATGATTTCTTTCAGTAAGATCACACTTTTGTAACTGATTATTTAGTTGTTCAGTTAAACTGTAATTTAAATATATAAATATAATACATTATTAAAACAATAGATAAACGGTAGGCTTGAAACTTGAAAATTATTTAAATCACTCCATGTGACAGTCTAATCTAATAGAAATTTTCTCGTTTGATGATATTGTGGTGTATGCTACTGATGTCGATAGATATAAGTAGTATGTAGCATCAATTGAAACTGAAATACCTGGCAGCAGAAAGTTAACAAGATTGAAGAAAAGAAAACGAGAACAATGAAGTCTGAAATGATTGATTGATATTTGCAAAAGGAACAGACAAGTCTGAGACAACTGACTGATATTTTGTAAATGAAGTATTTACTGTATGGTTCTCAGATTTTAATATGTTCTGTAATTTTGTATTCAAATACATTCTATTATCCTCGTTCATTACAATATTTCTTTAAAACTGAACGACATAAATGACCAATTTATTATACTGAAGAGTATAATTAGCGATTTCGAATAGTCGTATTTAATTAGAAACTAATATTTAGATAATTATTCTATATAGAGTGGTTTACAAAATTGGTTTCACATGAATTTGATAACGTTTGACTTTTGTCAACTTAGATCTGCTGTAAATCAAATGACTACTAATATAAAGATGAGTATTACTTTACGAATGAAAAAATGAATCAGTCTTTGATTGTACATACTGTGAAATGTTGTTCATATATGGTGAGATCATCAAGCGAAAAAAACTTCTGGTGTTTGAAGTACAGTAACAAAAAACAAGATATTAGGTGGAAAACAACGTGACTTTTATTTATTTCATCATTTCACAGCAGTTGAGGTATGAGCGGCATAGTAAAAGACATCGGTTACCAGATTAATCTTTTGCACACGTATATGAAGTCAACAACTTCCAAACTGCGCATTGAGGTTTTATGCTTAGACAGTGATTTACTAGTCGCTTTCTAGTCCTTATCGGTTTTCCACTTTTGAACTATAAACAGAAGCCAGGATACGCAAAAATTACTTTGGTTCTTGCACTCATATTATGAAGTGAATCAGTATGCACATTTATTTAGACCAAAATTGTTTAGGATTGATTGAATCTTAGATATGAATAAACTCGATGCTCAAAAGTATAAAAACCTCAAAGTAATTTTCGAAGCAGCCATACCTTGGAAGTGTTGTATAGTTTCACCATAGTTTCCCTGTCAAGACAGCCCTAAAGTGTTAATAAATACATTGTAAACGCTGAACCAAAGGGTAAAATGAAGCATAAACTGACTGGATATTATCTTCCTAATACCAACCAACTCCAAGGTTTACTACTGTTGATCAATGTTACTCAAGATTTAATCGTCAATACAATATATTGTTATTTTTGGAAAAATCAATATCCTATCCTTGGATTGAATCCACTTCTATCTCAGGATAGAAATATATAAAACAACCAAAAGAAATCCAAAACCTAATTGGTTTTTTTCCAAAATCCTTACTTTGAAATTTTTTTTTTTAAACTTCTGTTTTCATGAACAAATGATTGATTTTCTTCTTTCAGACTGTTTATTCTTTGCCTGTTTAAAAAATATTCATGAAGTATGATATAAACTACTGAGTAGAATAAGTAGTCTATGAGACGTCAAAAGATTAACTAGTTTTCATATAATCAGGTGTCAATTTATTCACTTGGTGTTGTTTACTTGCATCTTCCTATCTTTAATTACGATTGTAATTGATCAGTCTCTTGTTGGCATAAGTGTATCCTGTGCGAACTGACTTGATATTTCCTGAAGTCACAAGCTTTTCAAACAAAGATGGATAGTGGCTAACTATGAAATTCAAGACGGTAATGGGTTTGAATCCCGGAGTGAACATCAACTGTTGGATCCAGGTACATTCAGCTGACGAGTTCCAAATAGGAAGAAACTCGCGCCCTAGATTTCATTGCTGGCCGTTATCCATCTTTGTTTATAAAAATATTGATTTAATCTCAAAAGAAATTTTGTGCACTGATACAGACCAGTAGTAAATTTAATAAAGAATTTCTATTACTATTATGAATACAAAAATATTCAATAAATAATTTAATCAATAATTACTTAGTTCACCGAGGCATAATCAATTTTCAACTAAGGAATATAACAAAATAATATGAAAAAGGTAACATTTATAGATCATTTTGAAATACTCACTCAAAATTCAATATTAATTGTCTCTTCTCATCATGTAAAATATCCAAACGTTTAGTTTCTTCACTTAATTTTGTTTTTAATACTGAAATATTTTAGGAAAAAAAGAAGAATAACAATTACAGGAAGAAAAGGAAATTTTTCAAAATATTTTAGAGAATTCTTTAGTTCTAATGAGAAGCAGTAACCAGTGGAATTCAACCGGGTCTGCTGTAAGACAGTCACTCATTGAAGACAATGGTGAATGTGTGATAAGTCTTGTTAATTTGAACGCTTTATTCGGTTCCTAAGCTATTCTTGAAACCCCCAAGCTAGAACTATACACAAGAGCGAAGGCGTAAAGTATGCGAAAAGTACTTTACTCCAAGGTTCATTTTTGTACAGAAAAACACGGGTATTTATAGATGTTAACATTTGTTAAATTAACATCATATTTTGGCTAATCCACTAAAAGACATATTATGCTACTGACCAATAGTAGCACGCCACGTTGGTATTTTAGAAAGCTCCATCATGCTCTGATTGGCTAAGACTCTTCGGCTCCTTCAGGGACTCCGGAGGCTCTGTTGCAGTTCTCGGAAAGCCGACTTAACAATGTGTCGCTCAATTTTGTGGATCAGTTGAAGTTAGACTTGAACACCTTTGGATGCCGGCCGGTTCAGTAATCTAAAGGTTAAGCGTTCGCGCGCAAAACCGATAGGTCCTGTGGTCCGAATCTCGCAAGTCGGGATCGTGGATGCGCACTGCTGCGGAGTCCTATAATAGGACAAAACGGTCGTCCAGTGCTTTCAGGTTTTCCATGGTGGTCTGGCTTTTATTGACTCACGATTTCAATTATTGAAATTACTATAATATTCACAAAAATCTCTTCTGATATTAAATTCTTTAATTAATCATTTTTTGAGATCAGATTAAAATGGTACCTGTAGACATGAAAGATCCTACCAGGATTTATTTGAAAATTTAATGAACAATCATCCAATTGTCAATTTTCACAAAAGAAAGCTGAACAAATTTTATGAACAGCAGAAATCTTGTAGTTATTACCGTTTTATTGAACTCATGGAAATAATCAATAAAATTTCTCGTGTTCCGACGATTTTTAGACTATAGAGTATGAAGATCATCAAGAATTTGTTCAAGTGAATTAATGATTACTTTGTTTATAAGAGTAAAGAAAAGTAATGATCAACTTTGAAAATCCATTTTAGGAACAAGTATAAAGCGATGTACCACATGGACGATTATAAAATCCATAACAACCCATTTGATATATCGATGAGGTATTGAATATCATTAATAACTGTATGCCTAGTTATCCGATGACTTTATACATAAGACAAGATGAGCATAGCCTTAAAACTGATCCCAACACTTTGTTTCACTGGTCTAAGAGATGCTTGAAAGTTTGTGAAAATCGGATAATCAGGTGATAATAACTTCAAAGTTTATGAAATATACCTCACCTTGGTTGCTTTTCAAAATGAACTGCTTCGGTCTGGGCACTCGAGCAGTATCACAGTCCACACACAAAATGAAAATTTCTGTGGCGCATATATATTTGGTGTCCTCTTGTACCAATATATATGTGTTCAAATAAATAAATAAATTTCCAAAATGACAAATAAATTTATAATAAAATGTGACCTCAGTATCCTAATTCACTGACATTCAACTACGTTAAATATTTTAGAACAGTGTGAGAGTTACACAAAGCTTTTGTCAGAGTAAATAAAAAACTTGTTAACCAATCTTTACAGTGTATTAATGAGAACTATGATAGAAAAAAAAAACTCTCAGGAAACGTTTTTTTAAAAAAGACAAAGATCTTAGCACATAAGCTTCCCGAATCAATTTCCCTACTGTGCAATTAGCAAGTCTAATTGTGAATGTGAAGCATTCATTCATTGTTCAAGGTAGATTAGAACGATTGGTAGCGAGCATCAGGACAGTTTCATAGTCACAAAAGAATTATATTCTCACAAAGTATATTTTCCTTCAATAAGTTTTAAATCTTCGGAACTTTCTACTCAAATAAACAATATCTATGCCTTCAATCCATTCATTCAAAACAAGGACAGATAAACACAGAAATGAAATTGAAAATAAACTCGAAAATTGCTTACAGATTCCTAAACCATCTAAAGCTAATGCAATCTAAGAAATGGTTTAGGACCATAATTACTGAAGCAACTAAAACATCAAGATAAAGATAAAAACGAATATGATTGCATCGTCTAAGTGGGTCATGAAAAAAGATAAACATATTATATACGTTTTAAGAAATACAATGGTACTAAAACAACATCAGCTTGTGACGAAACCATCATTGCACTAAAATAATCTCTATAATCCGCCCACTTTAATAAAGACAATAGGGATTTGTCTAATTTCATTTATTTTATTTACTTAAACATATAAATATTTGTATGGGGATTGGTGGAGGTTGTATTATTTTCACAGTTGAATTCACGAGTCGATATAAGTGAGACCGAAGGTCCTGGGTCCGAGTCCGATGTGCAGAATTGTGGATGTGCACTGCTGAGGAATCACATAAAAAACACACGTTGCTGAACTTCTGCATTAGTAAAATGGTGTCTCTACTAGATGTCACCAATCATTCAGAAACAACAATGACCAAACACAGCGAGTCGTCTAACATCCTCAACTCAGAGGTCAGGTTCCACAAGAATGGAACAAAACTATGCTCACTAACGCGTTGTGAACCCGAACTTTTACAGCCAGATTAACATCACGAAGGGGCCAAAGATGGCCCAAATTGACATAAGCTGCTCTGGCTTTCACTATATGTGAATTGGTTTCATCTCTCACGCAACCATAAACACTTGCGCAGCTACCCAGATACAAGAACCTCTCAACTCCTTCTATCTAATCAATAGCCAGGGTGAGTGCAAATTCAGGGTTCTGCCAGTCTTTCAAAAGTACGGAGTCTTGCAAAGCGCAGAGCATATGCTGTACCAACTGACACTGGTTGTCAAGTGACTAAGCGCGGATTGCATCATTTGAGTATTATTCTACAGTAAGAAAATATCATCCACATACTTAAGATTGAAAAGCATTTCTTAAGGTAACAGATCCACAACACAATCAGCTACTTTCATCGGAGCTGTTTTAAGAGAGTCATCGATGACTAAGTTGGATAGGAATGGTGAGATTGGGAAACCCTGCCTAACCCCACTGCTTAAATGGAACAATAGAGAGAGATGGTTTATGCGCTCACTCTACCCGAGATGTTTGTATACGACGCCTTTAACATATTAATAAACTTCTCAAGTACACCCTTCATCAACAGATAACCTCAGACTGGAACTCTGTTCAACAAATAGAAGGAGGAACGAACATCAAAATTATCAAACCACGTAGTAATATAGATCAAGATCTGAAGTCTTACAGTGAGAATACGGTTGCGAATTAAGCATTCTCTCTTCATTTCTTCTGGGATGTTGAGCCTAAAATGCCGTGCAATCAATATTTTCCCCGCTTCATATTATCTATGCTCAATATTTTTTAGTACCACTGACACTGTTACTACTTATACTGCTCTGGAATTCACCTTGAAGGTTTCAAATTGCTGAACTGATATGGTGGGCCAACTTTAACAAATGGACATATGTCCTAGTTTCTACGTTTATAATTAATACTCAGAAATGAAGAAAGATTGAGTTGAAAATACCTTCTCTAGTTGTCTAGCAGAATTGAGAGTACTATGAATAAGTGTTATTACATACACATATACAAATTCCAGGTGAACCACAAATAGAGAAAACCAAATAAGCACTTTCGTTCATAAGATTTAATCGATCTAAAATTCATTGCGGAGTATATACTTTTACTTTTCCAACTATTTTTGAGAGGAAACCGATCAATAACGACTAGGATCACCAATGAAATAAATGATCAAATATCTAATAATGATCCTTAACTAAATTTTCGTAAATTAATATTCAAGTTAATGAACCCAATAATAATAAACAACTTGAACTGAATATGTTGAGTCTGAAGCCTGTTACACATAATAGTCAACTTGTTGATAATTCATTCTACAGTAATTGATGTGAACCGGGAAACAAGAGGCCCTGACAAACTACGAAAGCTATCTTTCGGGACGTTATTTCATTTTATTCAAAGCTTGTAAAACACTGACATTTATTTTTTGTCCCTAATCTATTCTACAGAACATGAGCTTTCCATCGATGTATCATTCACTGCCATACCTTTTTCTGTTCCGAAGTTATTGTAATTTAAACATATTATTTTGCACCCTATTTTCTACTCTAATTCCCAGCTTTGGACATAATTGTATTTTTCCTAATTATTGTACGTTGCGGTCGGGTTATTCACTTATTTATTCATTTACCTTTTTACACTAATCATTGAAGTCAGGTTTAGATCAAGTAGTGTTCCAGTCGTCTTGTCTTCTCTCATTCGTGTGCTGCCCACCAATCAGGTGACAAAATAGTTTTTCTTTCTACCCCATCTCGAACTCACGCGTACTAGTCTCAAGGTTAAGCCGATCAGCCTATCGCACCAAGGTCTAAATCTAGATTAGACAAGTATCCTCGGCACCAAAAGTGGGTAGACAAACCAAGGTCATAACAGTAATAGATTCTTCCAACTTATAACCAATAGTTATAACCTATAAGAATGACCTTCTCAAAGAAGTTGAAATAAAAATATCTTCAGGAAGGGATTTTTGTGGAGATTGTAGTAATTTAGTAGTTGAGTTTATGAGTCAATTAAAGCTCCTGAAGAGTCCCACTCTAGGATGAAACAGCTGTCCAGTGCTCCCAGGTTTTCCATGGTGGTTCAGCTTTAATTGGCTCATCAACTCAACTATTATATAAAAATATTTTTCAATCACATCGGAAAAACGAGCTGTGAAACACTTAGAAATGTCTAGCATTAAACATCAATTCAGCATTTAATAACACGTTTGCTGCAAGATTTTGATAATACAATTTACATCTCAATCTTATGATGATATCTATGCATTAAATATAGAATTGAAATAGTAAAATCCCTGAACATTCACTCAATAAATATCACTCATTGATCTACGGCAAGGAAAAATAATAATATCAATATATTCTGAAAATAATAATTACCTTATCCATTTCAGTTCACAGGCATGATTAGCTTGATTTAGGTAGTAATGTTCAATGTTGGGGACATATGAGATATGTTAGATTGTTCGATATGTTTTGGTTTAAAAAATGTTTAGATAGTACATTTTTCGCATTTATTACAGTAATGAAAGATTCTTAAACTTCTCTTGGTGTAGGATGAGACTACAGAATGGAAACTTATGAAGTTGAGAAAATTAGAACACCAAATCAGATGATCAACTGGTACTGATGAGCGTTTTATAAACTCAGTGTAATTATCTTAACTATCATACCAATTATAATCAGACTTTGATGAGTAGTTCTGTTATAACTAGATTTCAACTAAAAATCATCGATGCAGAATAGTATGAATTCATAATATTTCGAGGTTTCTCGTCAGCTGCTTACAACCAAATATGTGATAAGCTTTTTACATTGGAAGAAACGGTTGAAATCATATGTAAATATCCTGAACTTCTACCTCTACCAGCCCAGGATTTTAAACAGCTCCTTTTTTATGTACCAAAAACATATAATTTCAATTTAATAATGTCTTTTACTGCCAAATTGATGGAGTTGCTATGGTTAGCCCGTTGGGCCCAATTCTTGCTGATATATTTATGGGATACCTGGAACTAAATAAGCTCAAGCACGCAATTGACGATACTACATTCTACTGTAGATACATCGATGACACATTTCTCGTCTGTAACAATCATAAGCACGCCATTAGACTACTTGATCTGTTCAATAAAGCACATAACAATATAGAATTTACTATGGAAAAGGAAGTTGAAGGTAAATTCCATTTCCTTGATATTGGGATCAGACGAACATCTGATGGCACATTAAACAGACACATTCATCATAAAAATACGTGGTGTGGACTATATCTCAATTACTACAGTTTTTGTCCAATGAGTTACAAAAAGGGTTTGATACGAACACCAATTAACCTCTGACCTGTTCTAGCATATATATGTATATATATATATATATATATATATATATATATATATATATATATATATATATATATATATATATATATATATAGTTATTATTGTAAATCTTTGTCATTCTAATCATGTACATTCATTTATGCCAATTGTTTTACACTATCTCAATGTAAAAAGCTTATCACATATTTGGTTGTAAGCAGCTGACGAGAAACCTCGAAATATTATGAATTCATACTATTCTGCATCAATATTTGTTCTTGCTTTATTTAAAAAACATTGTTCTTCAACTTTGTTGTTAGCATTAGATACTCGATCATGACACTTACTCACGTGATAGATATAGTCATTCAATTATTCAACCAAGTAACTGACGCTCATATTAGAAAGGAACAAGTACAAAGAAGTCAATAAGTGAAATCAAAATCAAATATACTTTATTTTTTTTTAAAATATTACCTAATATATCGCCCAGTTGTTCCCCTTGTTTTTCTGACCAACTATTACGTTCTTCTTTATACTTTAACTCTAATTCATTGAACTTATTAATCACTGAATCTTTTTCCAAGGTAACTAAATCAAGTTTGTTAGTTATCTGATTATATTGATTATTTAATTGTGTAAGCGAAGTATTATCTAAAATAGATATGTATTGTTAGTACGATACACATTCAAACAGAATGAATTCAATTTGTTTATTTTAATCCCCCCCATAAATTTATAACTTTAAGTCACTCGTGTTCGTTAAGATCACTTGTACTGTGGTGTGTGCTACTTATATTGACATAAGTAGTATATGACGTTAGTCAGGAACAGAATGTCTGGCAGCAGAGAGACGAGAGGATCGGAGAGTAAAAAACGGAAACAGAACGCAATTTGTATGAAAATGCAAGAACAATGAAGTCTGAGCCATTTTGCAAATTGAGCCTTTACTATATGGTTGTTAGATTTTATTAACAAGTTCTGTAATTTCGTGTCAAATTCATTCGATTGTTCCCCACCCGTGTTCTGTTCACTACAGTACCACTTTGTGCGATTTTCAATATTTGAACACTAAAGTGCAATTCGAAAGAAACCTCGTAATGGAGCAATTATGTTTAAATGTAACCCCATACATAGTGATGTATATCACAACACGGAATGATGAAGGATCATTGGTTGTTTAGTCTTTTTCCACGAATGATCGTTCATTTATTATTTAAAAAATCACTCATGATATTAATAGTTTTGTTAAACACTGTTTAGATAAATAATTACTTTTTTTAATAAAATGTATACACATGTACCAGTATTGTGGTTGTCTAGTCCAAAGTATGGGTTGAACTCTGTACATTTGGGTATCGAACTGAATAATAATTTAAGTAATTTACTATTATATTCACTAATGTTTGGGTATAAGTCATAAGTCTAGAGGAAGCCTTAGATATATGTTTTGTACTTATTATCACTTACTAACAAGGAGTAGTTGCAATTTTGGTGGAACTGACGCTCTCTGTAGCACTCCAACACACGTCTTACCGTGTGACAATCTAACATTACTACCAATGAAAATTTCGAGTTGTTGTTTGTATTCAAGCATTTTAACTCCTGGGGACTGTTTCGACTACGATGTTTAAGGGAGATTGCTGGGATATGAGTTAAACTCCATAGTTTATTGTTCAAAATCACAGTTATAAAATAGTAAATCTTTTTAATTTGTAAGAGATAAGCAACACAAAAGATTGATGACTTACATAATTGATTCAGTGTAGAAATATGATCCCTTAAACTGTTGATTCTATCAAATATTGGACGAAGTAGACTGTCAGTGAATAGTTTCTCTTTTAATTTATTTCGTACTCTCTTTGAATAATCAAACAGCTCGATCAGTTGTTCTTGAGTATATGAAACTTCAGCTCTATATTTTAAAAAGTGCTTTCGACATAAAAACTATATGATAGTAGATCATCGGAAAAATAGATTATCAAATTAAACAGTTTAAACTTCAATATCAAGTCATAGTCAACGTGGATCCTGGCACACATATGCATCGGCCCAAGTTGTTAGAACACAGATAACACGAAGATATAAGTTTAAGAAAGATGAATAGCAAGTGAGCCAAAATAATGTAACAACAGTAGTAATGAGAAAGACTAAACATAGAGAATATGATTTGGAAAGGTAGGATGAAAAGGTATACGTGAAAGAATTGCCGGAAATCGAGTGAATATTCACAGTTCAGTTTGTTAGTATATCTAACAATTGTTAATTCTACATTTTTGAACGATTAGTCCAAATGTCATATTCGTATCTTTTGACAGCATACAATCTTTGATAACTGTGTTAGGATAATAAAACACCAACAAAAGGAAAAGAAATCAATCGATAAAACCGAAATGAAATAAACCATAATGAAGAGATAAAAGATATAATAAGTTCAGAAATAAGAGATTTAGGATATAACATTATTTAGAGAATTGAAAGAGTTAGTGACACATTAACCGGTTTGGAACAATATCAGCTAACTAAGTTTGGGATGGAATTTCTGAGGTAGTCACTTATGTCAAAAGTGTGAAAGTGCACAACAAATACATGAGATAATGATCGCACTATTTTACAAAGATTAATTCAGTTTTTTAGCGAAATACCACGTTCCTGAGATTTTGTTAATGAGTAATTACTTCGTAGTAATTTAAAAATTAATAACGACTAATTCATGTATAATAATTGCCATGAGATTGTATGGCATTTATCCTGCTATTGTTATGAAAAACAAACAACATAATTGTAATTACCTTCTATTACAAGTTTCATTTTAGAAACATTTCGAGTAACTGAATTTATGATCTCTAGAATTATGTTCAGTCGGTCGTAATATATCAGTCAATATTCGATCAGTACAAAACATCTTTGCTGAAGAGGAACTTAAGAAAAGACGATGGAAATGGATGGGACATATATTGAGAAAATCATCAAACTGCATCACGAGACAATATTGTTCGTTTATGTGTTGTTCCAGGTAAATTATTTCTAATTAATCATAATGTTATTCACATATTTCATTGACTAAAAATATACATTTCATTCTTATAAAGGTTTACATCTAATTCATTCGAATCTCTATAAAAGAGTATTCAGATAACTATAGGTTCCACTTAATTAATTTGCAATGAATAAAGAACTTAATTAATCTCCAACAGATTCACAGGAAACGATGATGGAAATGGATAGGACATATATTGAGAAAATCATCAAACTGCATCACGAGACAAGCCCTAACTTGGAATCCTGAAGAGAAGCGAAAAAGAGGAAGGCCAAGGAACACATTACGTCGGGAAATAGAAGCAGATATGAAAAGGATGAATAACAACTGGAAAGAGCTGGAAAGGATTGCCAAGGACAGGGTTGGATGGAGAATGCTGGTGAGCGGCCTATGCTCCTTCACAAGGAGTAACAGGCGTAAGTAAGTAAGTAAGTAAGAACAAAACACCTTCAAGCAGAGATATTTCGATAAGCTCGGGACTTTTTATCGTTTGTCTAAACTTATGCCTTCATACAATATATGTCATCACTTTTCAAATAAAAAAAATTATTTGATATTACTATAAATCAAACTGACTTACTGACTTCTGGCAAGTTCTTTGGTGAATTGTTTCTCAGTAGCTTGATAACAAATTAATTTTGTATTCGCATCATCTAATTGTTGGATGATTTCGGCTTTTTCATTTAGTAGACGTTCGATACTGTAATATTATTAATAGCCATAATAGTAACAGAAACAGGAATTATCAAATGAATTAAATAGAAAAATATTAACAAAAACAGTGCAATCAGTAAACCAGATCAAGAAAATGACAAAAAACATCAGAATTTAGTTTTAAATAAATGGAGCATTGGGTAGAAAGTTAACAATAAATATATTTTAGGATATCTCAATGAGTAGAAAATTATATTTCAAACGTTTCATGACTTCTTCAGAAGTGGCGTACATTAATTTACGAAATGTCAAAAATATAGATTTATTCTCATTGAAACATCATAAAAATATGTTTATTATCAAAATTCAGATAAATATCCAAGTATCAGTATAGGGGTTGTGGAGATTACTGAGTTTTTTTAGTTGAGATCATGAAACGATTGATGCAAGACCACCATTGAAATCCTGGAAGCACTGAACGGCCGTTTGTGGGACTCCTCAACAGTGTGCATCCACGATCCCGCTCGCAGAATTCGAACTCAGGGTTTTCAGTCTCGCGCGCGAACCTAATGGATTACTGAGCCGGCATCTAATGGTATTAATGTCTAACCTCAAATGACCCACGAGAAAGTTATCTATCTCAGTACAATGGAAGATGGTCGCGCAATTTCGTGGATTCGTTGAGGTTAGATATTAACACCATTGGATGCCAGCCCAGTGGTCCAGTAGGTTAAGCGTTCGCGCGCGAGATTGAAGGCCCTGGGTTCGAATCCCGCAGGCGGGATCATGAATGCGCACTGCTGAGGAGTCCCACAATAAGGTGAAACGGCCATCCAGTGCTTCCAGGTTTTCAATGGTTCTCTAACATCAATCAGTTCATGATATCAATTTTAAAAAATATCCAAGTATTTGACTTCAAATATTGACTGGACATATATTTCATGCTTCAATATTAATAGTCTGATGGAAGAAATTCCGTTCATTTGAATTGCATCATGATGAGCATTCATAAAATGATAACTTTTGGGATTTTATAATATAGCCGTTATTCATCCATGTTGTTGATATGTCATCAAGCAGTTTGTGTTGATATGATTCTGTTGAGACTATAGTAACTTAATTTCTTATTAAGTAAAATGTTGGTCCAAATTGTCATATTTAGCATAAAATATCAATTTAACATTATTAAATAAAACAGGATCGATCAAAAAATCATTTTAGACAAAGGACAAAAAAAGACTATAAGCAAATAAAAAAAACTACTGTTTTCTTAGCATATTTAACTCATAAAACTGAATAATTGGTGACTATATTTCATCTTGGCTTTTCACGAAATAAATGCCATCTCACATTAGTTGTACAAACAGTAAATGAATATATTGACTGGTTTCAAATCTTAGATTTGTTAACGTTTAGCTCCCATAACTTCGATTTTACGTCAGACAACATGATAGCTTAATAAAAATTTGTTATACTGCTCGGTTTTACTTCGTCTAGTGTTATAATGGTTGGGTTTCCACGATTATACGTATGGGACGTTAATTTACCTTAGACAAATAACTACACTAGATTCCCTCCCAGTGTTTATTCTACAGGACTTCAACATGACTCAGTTCAAGAACACGTGATTAGCCTGATCACAACGAAAATATATTTCCACACCAAAATCCCGACACAATTCAACAACAAAGAACAACCAACAATGAGTGAGTTCCAATAATAATAAGGATAGGGGAATATATAACTCATCTGACACCTGTCAGACTATCTACATCTCTGACTAAGCAGACAATCAATCATTATCATTCTCGCCCACACACCAAAATGATTACAAATAGCGGAAAACATAAGCGAAAACAACTTGAGTCTACTGTACTTCACAGTTTTATCTGGTTATTTATGAATGTGATTTAACATTTCTATTACAAAATACTGAATAAGTAATGTAATGGCATCATATAAATTCACTATTTGGTGAGTTGATTAGTCCTTAAATTTCTTTCGCACACTTAAGTTTTCATTTACACTTGAACTTTAGGAAACAACTTATATTCTGTCTATCCATCTTTGTCAACTTATCTATCTATATAATGATAATAAACCTTATTAACCATTCCGAATTAATATATCAAAATCTTTTAACCAGATCAAGCATTATTCGTCCATTATCTGATTTATGCTGCTTAGTGTTTCCAAGGATTACACAGCGTTTAACAAAGATTTATTTTAGTGCCCAACTACCTATTAAAACATTTTTTTTTTAAATCCGAAGAGGGACTTTTCTGAATTCACAAATTTTTTTTATAGTTACACATTCTTTTATTCTAGTTGAATTTCAGATCTCTTCGTTATTGATGGTCAATCATTTCACGGTTTTACTATTATGAGAAATTTACCACCAGAAAAAGGACAAAGTAGTATTATGTATTTAAGAGCTTTGTAAAAGCGCTTATCTATATGTTTTCACCTCGTTACGGTTAATGTTTCGATAAAATCAATTACATTGCTTATTTATGTCTCTGAGCTTATAAGTACATTTCAATAATATTTCTGGACGTTTGGAGATTTATTCACAACTGAAATGATAGACATGATCACGTAAAACCTCCTACAAATCTACAACGTTATTAACTAGTAACCAACACACTTTCCATCAACAAAGACTACATTTTCATAGGAATATTCAAATTTTCAGAAGAATGTTTTTTGAAGTAATACTCGTATTTTTAGCTGCTATAAACATTTTAGATTGTTTAGTATCCTATATTCTGGTTGTATAGTGGTAGATAATCATTTAGGCATCAGATAACGATACTGATCTTACTAACTTTAACGGTTTCAAATACTTGCGCTTGAAGAATCAAGCACTTCAGCCGCTTTTCATCACTACCCATATAATTCTCTTTTCCTTTCTTCCTAGTGGTCATTTTGATAGTTTTATGTATGTCCACAATTCTATAAAGTCTAAGATAATCATTTTACTAGACGTTTTCCAAGTTATTAACCATGGAATCAAAGTGATTCTTTTAAATACAAGGTTTACAATTGATCAGTATCACTGACGTCAAGTTTTAATAAATCAATTTAGTTTTAGTTTTTTAACAAATGATAATAAAGCTTGTAGCGGTAAAAAATCCCCAAAATGAATAGCTCTGTAAGTTTTCGACATTGGATGCTGACCACATTAGTTTTAACGGACTCACCTGGTTGAAGACGCTCTGTCGTGCATCTGCATCAGATCACGAGTGGGAACGCCGTGCTCAACATCCCATGCAGTCTCTAGCCAGTCTAGATCAGTCTAACCTCCATATATTGATAGCTTATCAAATATTTGTTCGAACCTCCTCGCTTCTATCTTTTGATTTCACTTGGTGGATACGATTCATATTAGAAGGTGTTACTGGTTAAAGCGTTTGCAAACTCCAAATACTGTGGCATCTGCATTGGTGAGCCTGACGTGATCTGGTACACCAAATTACAAACCGTGAATCTGTTCCTTTTTGGGATTTTATATATCATTGCCCTATTTTCATTTTTTATACATTGTGATATTTTTTCCGTGTTTTTGGATATATATATTTCTCACTCGCTCATTCTCGTACTTGATATTTCACCATGACGGAACAGACACCCAAGGTACTTAAGTTAAAGACTATGTCCCTACCTTCGTTCCAACTAATGCCCTTCTAGCCAGACAAGATCGAAGCCCTGTTCTGCTACGCAGAAGCCGACTTCTACGAGCACGATGTGAACGACACACGTGCACAATTCCTTGCAGTAGTCAAGGCACTACCGCGCGAATTCAACAGGTACGTAACACCTAGCATGTTTACTAGCGGTGTTTCTGACCCATACAAAACCCTAAAACATGCCATCCTCAAACGCGGAGATCCAACCGATCGGCAAAGGTTAGACCAACTCATTAACAACATTGACCTGCAACACGGTTCTGCGACAGACATGTTGCAAATAATGAGAGCGGTTATCGGCCAAAGAACTTTCGATGATGGCTTATTCAGACAACTTTTCTTATTCAACCATCAAGCTTATAGCAGAACGGCTTTGCTGGCCTGGTACGAATAAAGACGTGAGGGAGTGGGCACGCTCCTGTTTAGGCTGCCAAAAATCTAAGGTTATCAGACACAAAAAATGTCCCTTAGGTTCATCTAAAACTCCTGAAGCTAGTTTCGACCATGTTCATCTGTATTTGGTAGGATCTTTATCAGATTCAAATGGATACTCTTACCTCTTAACCTGCGTAAACCTTTTCACTCGATGGCCAGAAGCAGTACCCATCAAAGATATTACTGCTGAAACAGTGGCCCGCGCCTTCGTCGAACGATGGGTAGCAAACTTCGGCTGCCCAACAACCATCACTATAGATCGTGGACGCCAGTTCAAATATGAACTTTCCCGTTGTCTGACCGCACTATTAGGAATCACTCGCTTCCGAGCAACCTCCTACCATCCACAAGCAAACACGTTGGTAAAACGATTTCACCGACAACTAAAAGCTTTACCACCAGCTGCAAACGTTTCACAGTGCACCGACGCTCTTCCACTTGTCTTACTAGGTATTCGCGACGCAGTGGAAGCTGACGTTCGATACACTGCAGCTTAACTCGTTCATGGTACGACACTTTGACTTCTAGGAGAATTCGTGAATCCTTCATCTTCTTCAATGAAAATGGATTTAAACTCCTACGCTAGCAGGCTTACAATAACAAGGCGTTCAGTTAAATCTGTTTCCACTCGACCACAATCAACTGATGTTTTTGTTCAACCTGACTTGCTAGATTGAAAACCAGCAGAACCATACAAAAATATATACACGTAAAATGCATTTAAATATGTTGAAGATCAACGTGTAGACTATGGAAAAATCCCCCAAACACTCAACTTTGAGTCGGAAGTGACTAAACTGGTGCGAATTTTGAGTGAAGCTATCTGAAAGTTTTGTGTAAATTTTAGAAAGATAAAGCAAAAGAACTCATAATGTATAATGGTCTTTGTAGTTTGTTCAAAATTTTGGTGAGACTGTAATTTATGAACTACTTTTGACAGGCTTGTGTGAAAGTAAACATTTTCACATGCTCAATAGAGTTAAAGGAGGGTTGTTAATTGGTGTGCTGAATCAGTATTAAGATTTAGAGTTAGACATTATGGCTAGAAATAAGAGTTAACTTTTACCATGAACTGTCACCAGTTATAATCTAGAAATGCAACTTAACCACACAGATGAGTGAGTTTTGTTTTAAAATCCAAGACCTACTGAATAAAATTCCTTCGATTCGTCAAAAATTTTAGTCTAACTAAAAATATCTCTTTTTACAAATACTATCAGTAAATATTCATCATTCAACCACCAAACATTAGAACGACCGCAATTCAACTACTGTCAAAAAGTCATAGTGACAATGAAAAATAGCTTTACAATTCATATAAAATAAGTCCTAAAATCCAAATTTGGTAACTGTTTAACTCACTCTTCAGACACTTCTTTTCCACCATTTGACGACAAGCCAACATTGCTCTCAGGAATAAACGAATGGGAGTCTTGTTTGTGTCTGACAAATTCTAATTCTTTTCGCAAATTTTCGGATTTATCTTCAAGAAACTTTATCTCGTTCAGTATAAGATAACTGACGCCACAATATGCACAAAATGTCTCTTCAGTACGAACATCTAGCAGCTCTTTGGGTAGAGGGTATTTTGGTCTGTATGTCCTTAAGTCTTTTATCAATTCAGAAGAGTTGTAATGAGAGTCTTCATTAGAAATTGCCATAACTACATGATGACGCTACGTTTGAAGTTGTCACTTCTTCAGGGTCAATGTTCACCCTTCAATAACTAACTCTTCAGTTTCAGACAAACTTTGGATTTTTTGTATTTTTATGGAATGGAAATTGTAGAAAGATTGGCTTTCTTGGAATACATTTTGATTAATTAAGTTCCCCAGATATAAGCAGAACTTGGTTGGAAGTAATATATCACCGTTTGTTGTTTGAGATATTTCTGTGGGTTGCAAGTCGGGTTTCGTTGTTACCAACAGGTATGAATCACCTTCATTTTTCTTAAGTAATCTGAAAAATGGATGAACACATCGCATAGCTTCACTTAATTTATGTAATTATCTTCATTGGTTATAAATATTGCTAAGTTCGTTGCCTAAATTCCCTTGTACATTTCGGTGTTATATTGATTTTTGCTCATCATGTACGCAGGCTAATTATTGCTTATTGGGTTCCTCATAATACCTTCTTTCATTTGTTTAGCTTCTAACCCACCTACTAATGTAAAATTACAGTTTTCGTTTGGAGCATTTTTCTACATCAATATTTACTCAATTGTCAGGATATGGATACGCCTTTTGCATAGAATATCCTTCAAACATTAACTATGCTTAACCATGGATCATTGTAAACACTCAGCAACGACATACTCGCAAAAGACGAGTCGTGTAACTGCTCTTCGTCTATCTACAAATACTTCTTCACAAAAATCTGCATTTCTTTTGTATTATTTACTTCTTGTCTATCATAATTTTTCGATAGATCTACCGTGTTTCCTGGCTAATATAAGTTAAAATGTTTTGTTATGGCTATACAAGTACAGATTTTTAATTTTTAGTACATATACATGCATATTTATTTTTATTAATGTTCTGTTATTAAATGCTTACTTTAGCTTTGGATATTCAATACTGTTCAAGACGGTTCTCCCCTAACCAACATGCATGTAACGACTGGACAGTAAACACGGTAAACGGGATTCCAGAGTTCACGCTGGGTAATTAGTTGGTTAGTAACTCGGCAATATGCCCTCTCAGCTTAGAGAAAATTCTCTGCATTCAACATATCTTCTCAAACCATACGTTAAGTTCACATATTTAGTTCACTTGTTACAGAGCTGCTGAGGTCACGAACCATGTTGGATTTAGGTCTAGATCAGTATCGGTGTATTTATCCATACTGACAGAATAATATACCTAATATGCTACTGCGAACTTCTCATGATATGAAAACCTATCTAGAAGATCTTACTCAGAAGTCACATGATTGTCCATAATGACTCTTTCTATCACTATAGTAAATAGCGCACTATTTATGAACCTTTGAAGAACACATTTTGGCCAGGGACAAAATAAAATACTTGTAATAAAAGGGAAGACGTCACACAGAGTAACCACTCGTACATCTCCAAGCCATTCCAACTTTTTTAATTGTTCCTCCTTTCAGCTCTTCTGGCCTTATCGAAGTGTTCAACGCTTAGTGTATTGTAGTCTCAGCTTCAAGAACCGTATGGTTAGGAACCAATTCCACTACGACCTCGTAAACCGAATGTTTAAAGTGACACTGCATGACAAACTAAAAGCAGCGGTGCTTCAGAGTATTTCAATATCGAATAACACATTTAAACTGTTGTTAGTTGCTTGACACCTAAGTGACAGAGAACAATAATAAATGAGATGTTGGGAAAGATTCGTAACTACTTAGGTATATTAATTAATTAATGGGGACATGTAGAATGGATGAAGTCTATATGCAAATGTGACTAAAACCTCTGAAATATAATATGTCAAAATATCTGATGTGTCTGTGATGACCGATAATTATCAATTCAACTTTACATATGTACTCATAAATGCAGCTAATCATTTAGAGTTGCTCCGTTGTTTTGTCTTTTTAGCCGACGATATCCAGTATCGATGTATGACACACTGCATTGCTTTCCTCATAGGTTATTCGGAATATTCTGATTTTGAATACCAGGCTTCAAGGAAGATGCCTTACTGGAATCATTTGGGTGTGTTTGGCTATATCGAGTACCTATTAGTTATCTTATGCATTTGAGTTTGAGTTTGTAGGATTATGGTCCATTATGGTATTAGTACTGCTCTAATAAAAGATTTAATCCTAAAATTGTACATTTGTCATGATATAACTGCCTAATCTATAAGATCTTACGTGGAAGTCACATTATTATCCACACCACCTCATCTCATCGTAACAATCATCAATATCTGACGAAGAACACACTTAGGCTAGAGACAGAACAATATATTTAATATGGGTCAAAGATATGAGGTAACATTCAGCATGAACCACGCCTGCAAGGACGATTCATGCCGTGCGATCACTAGGAGTTCACTGTATTCCTTCTTCCCACGTTCTCCATCGTTGGGTTTTCCTCCGCGTTAAATATCGAGTATCTAGTTTCCCACTTGTCTCGTGCTCAGTCTTGAGGATCGTGTGGTTAGGGCCCAATGCCACCACACTGCTCTTCCACCAGAATCAACGTGGTGTTGTTTCGGTACCAAATTGAGTGGGATTGTCGCGCACCGGCGGTTAGCAATAATAATAAAAATCCTCCTGGTATTGATAAGCTGGAAGATAAATTAAAAAGAAAGCTGCAACAACTGATCGGGAAATATATGTAGTAGTTTCAAAATGTTTGGATTAATTATTAAAGCGCGAAAAATGAAAAACTTAGGTAAAGATTATTTTGGCTAAACAAAATGATATTACGATAATTAAGAATGATTCCGTGTAGAGATATTTCAATAAGTTGTCGTAAGATGATTGGTAATGATCGTTGGTTAATAACTTAACTTATAGGTAGTACAAATATTTTGTGTTTAACAATATCAAAACCAATCAATATTGTAGTGTTAATATTGGTATTGCTTTTGATTTAAATCATTAAATCAAATAATGTTTACACCGGTAAGCTGTGCTTCTTGCTTCCATCTAACCTTGTTATTTGGAATATAATCTCCTTCCTATTCAATCATGTTCTGATTTGGGGCCTTGTCGAGTGAATTGGTGTCCGTGAATACTAAGCGATAGGAATAGCTGGGTTATAACCGTAAGAGAGAAATATAACAGTGGCGACGGGGAAAAAGGAAAACAAATTCAAGATGCTCATATCAGATGACGAGCTTAACCGAATACTACAACAACAGAAAGCACAATTAGATGCACAAATGAGGTTGTTGGAGACTCTGACTCAACAGCTCAACTTCCACTGCTCGAGTTCACATGCTATTTCAAGTACGTCTTGTGACGCAGTTGCCAGCAGCATCCCAGAATTCATCTATGATCCCGGAAGCGGAAATACTTTTCTCAAGTGGTTCGAGCGTCGGGAAGATACATTTAGAATAGAATTCTGTAACCAAGACGACGCGTGGAAGACTCGATTGTTGGTACGTAAGTTAGGAATTAATGAACATGCACACCATGCTGACCATATATTGCCAAAGTTACCTCGAAAGCTCAGTTTCGAGGAGACGATAATTCAATTGTCAGAGATATTCGGTGAATCCTCCTCGTTGTATAGTATTCGACATCAGTGTCTAAATTTGGTGAAACGCGAAGCCGATGAATATGATATTCTAGTAGACATCGTCAACAGAGAATGTGAAGGGTTCAAGTTACGCTCGTTGACAGAAGACCAATTTAAATGCTTAATATTCATCAAAGCTCTTCAGTCACCACAAGATGCTGAGATCAGGACTAGACTTTTGGCTCGACTAGATCAAGACCCAAACGTCACACTCAGAACGTTAGCAGATGAGTGTAAGCGGCTACAAAGCATCAGACACGACAACAAGTTGGCTGAACAGGTAAATCCTAATTTAACCTGCAGTAGTGTCAATGCTTTTACTAGGTTAAAAGTTAAGAAGCTAACAACAACTCGTAACAAACCAACGACTGCATGCTGGTTATGTGGTGATTGGCATTATGTATGATTCTGTCCATTTAAGAAGCATACATGTCAAGTGTGCAACAAACGTGGACATAAAGAAGGTCATTTTCCACCGAAGCATAAACGTTCTCGACATGTGAAATCAGCCGAGTCTAACTCTCTTTCTCTGGTAGCTGCCTTTCAAACAAACTATGACATTCGGAGAAAGTATGTTACCATCCAGATAAATGGCATATCAGCTCGTCTTCAAATTGACACGGCATCAGATATCACCTTAGTATCTAGAGAAACGCATAACTTGCTGGGTAAACCGCCAATGAAGCCATCTAAGAAAACGGCCAAAAACGCATCAGGTGGTGTGCTAAAACTGGTTGGTCAATTACAGTGTGAATTTTCCTTCAATGGAACTAAATGTACAGGAATATGTTACCTAACAGGACGGCCAAACCTTGATCTTCTTGGTCTAGATATGTTAGATAAACTTGGAATAATGGATGTACCGATTAACAGTGTCTGCAACGTATCGTGTTCATCATTAGACACCCCAGTACTTGCAAAGAAGACAGGTGAAAGGTTACTAGAAAAACTGAAAAGAAAGTTTGCCTCTGTTTTTCAGAATAGCCTTGACCATTGTACCAAGACGAAAGCTCATTTACCATTGAAACCGTATGCCAAATCTATTTTTCATCCGAGACGTCCTGTACCATATGCTGCTCTTGAGTTAGTCGATCAGGAACTTAATCGCTTGCAACAGGCTGGTGTAATACAACCAGTCAACTACTCTGCATGGGCCGCACCGATCGTAGTGATTAAGAAAGCCAATGGAACTATAAGCATATGTGCCGATTTCTCGACCGGTTTAAATGCTGCATCAGATGTGTATCAATATCCGTTACCAGTTCCTGAAGACCTGTTTGCCAAACTTAATGGTGGGACATGTTTCGCGAAAATAGACTTTTCCGATGCCTATCTGCAAGTGGAAGTAGATGAAGACAGTAGAGAGCTTTTGACCATTAACACTCATCGAGGGTTATTTCAATACACCCATCTACCATTTGGCATCAAGACCGAACCTGCCATCTTTCAGCAAATAATCGATACGATGCTAACA